AAGCACCATAGCCCCAAATGAAATAGAACAAATAATGTAAAATACAATTTTTCTATGCTATGGACAATTAAGGGAAAGGGGGAAAACAAGAGTAGAGAATAAAACAGATGGACAGAAAGAGAGGAAGAGAATAAATGGTAATGAAAAAAACAGACCAAAAGGCAGACACACACAAACTCTACCCCCAGTTGCCTCCCCCTCAAAAAAAGAATTATATGACTAAAGAGACAGAAGAAAGATACACACTAACAAAATGACACTCAGATGCAGAAATAAATACGCACATAAAAACTTTGGTGGAATTATGCTCTTATTTTGTTCATCTTAAAACTTTAAACACAAAACTACCCAAAAAAATTAACATAATGTTGTACTTTTACATTAAAAGGCATAAACTGAATTAGTTCAAAGCAGGTGCCTCATGAGCTAGATACAATCAAGTTGAAGGTTTAGGATTAATTGCTGCCATATGCTACTAATATTTTTTAGCAAAATGTCGCTTGATAATTTGAGATCTCACTTCCATGGGTCAATTCCAACCAAACAAGCCAAAGATGAACTCTCCTAAAATAGAAATGTATCCCAAGAATTTTTTTATGAACCAGGGCTTAGTATTTTGCTTCCAGATAGGCAGGATTTAAATATTTTAACTTAATAGTTACCAAGTATGTAAAGTGTAAATCCCACATTGCCATTTAAAGTCTGTATTTGGGCATTTTCCTATTTAATCTTCTCTGTATGGTGTAGAGGGTGCTGGATAATGTAACTCCAGCACTCTCCTTTGATTCCCTCCTAAGATGAGGCCCTTCAGACCTACAGGCTTTTCTGAGCTCCAAACTGAGATAATCCCCATTCACTATGAAGTCAGCCCAGATTGACAAGAATAGGCAACACAAGGGCTCCCGATGTTTATTCTCATCTCTATCTGCTAGGAACCCTGCAAAATTATATGAGTTTTCATATCTGTAAAGAGAAAACCTGCAAGATTCATAGGAAGCTTTTCTTTCTTGTAGATAATAAGAGTTGGAAGAAAAAACACACAAGACTTTGCTGGGTTTGTTTGGTTTTAGCTAACTCCTTGGACTTTTGTGTACTTTGGTTTTTCCCTCTATGAAATGGAACTATAACAATCCCACTCCTCCCTAACACAACTGGTGATGGAGAAATAAACAGCATAGCAGATATGAAAGCACTTATAGCTCTTTGGAGGATGAGGGTTGGATCAGTTCAGTCCAAGTGTCTGAGACATTCAACAAGAATAACAACAACGATAATGAGCACTTGGGTTTGAACAGGATTTAACAGTTTATACAATTTTTTTAATTTTTAAAAAACTTTCAAGTTCAGGGGCACATGTGCAGTTTGTTATATAGGTAAACTGCATGTTGGTCAGGTGCAGTGGCTCACGCCTATAATCTCAGCACTTTGGGAGGCCAAGGTGGGCAGATCACAAGGTCAGGAGATGGAGACCATCCTGGCCAACATGGTGAGACCCCTGTCTCTACTAAAATACAAAAAAAAATTAGCTGGGTGTGGTGGTGCGTGCCTGTATTCCCAGCTACTTGGGAGGCTGAGGCAGGGGAATCACTTGAACCCAGGAGGCAGAGGTTGCAGTGAGCCAAGATTATGCCACTGTACTCCAGCCTGGTGACAGAGCAAGACTCCGTCTCAAAAACAAAAAACAAACAACAAAAAAAAGTAAATTGCATGTCATGAGGGTTTGGTGTATGGATTATTTCATCACCCAGGTAACAAGCATACTACCCGATAGGTCATTTTTCAATCCTCTCAAAATGTTTTAAATATATTATTTCATTGGCCTTTATAACAAGGTATGAAGTAGGGAGGCTATTTTTTATTTCATTGGACAGATAGAGAAATTGAGGCCAAGAGGAGAGTGCCTTGCCCAAGATCAAACGGCTAGTAAACAACAGGACACGTCTCCTGACACGAAATATAGTGCTCATTCTAGTTTACCAAACTACATATGCAGTTCATGCCTATTTCCTTTCATTCCTATCCTCCTTCAAGTGAGGCTTGCTTCGCAGGAGGCCTCTAATTAGAAATCAAAGCTTTCTATCTCTCATGTATAGTTCTAATCTATCAACTGTATAGAGAGCTTAAATTTGACTTGAAATTCTCCTTTGGTCAATATCTGTGAACTCTGGGTCTCATGAGTCATCCAGGCCTTAAACTTTCCTTTTGAATACCATTATTTGTAAATTTTGCTATTTCACATATTACCACATAGTGTCTGTTAAAGCAAACTAAATACAGCTTGAGAAGGACTCCGTACTTCTACATTTGAGTCCCTGTGGATGAACTGTAACCTAGCTTAATAGGCAGACAAGATTGAAAACCTAACTTAGGAGTATGCGCCTGTAACAATAGCTGAGTCTTGGCCAGTCCCAGCGGTCATACTTCAACCACTCATAGACTGCTAAGCATTCAAACTGTGTTCAAAGAAGGTAAACGTCAACCTGTAACCAATCCAGCTGTTTCTGTACCTCATCTCCAATTTCTGGACATCATTTCCCTTTTTTTTTATCTGTAAGTTTGTTCTGACCACAAGGCATCCCTGGAGTCTCTCTGAATCTGCTGTGATTCTGGGGGCTGCCCAATTCACAAATCGTTCATTGCTCAGTTAAACTCCTTCAAATTTAATTCAGCTGAAGTTTTTCTTTTAACACATCTGAGCCACAGATCAGTTCCTTGGATCCTCCCTCCTCGGCCTCCCAAGTAGCTAGGACTACAGGTGCACACCACCATGCCCAGTTAATCTGTGGTATTTTTATGCTGTTCCTCATTGTGTTTTTCATTGTTGAAACCATGACAGACCTAAGTATTCTTAAGGTGATTTCTTTCCAATAAGAAACTGTTAAGCCTTAGATCTCAGAGGGAATGTGAGAACAGGCCATCATAATTTCAAATAGCAAACAAAATTGCATTCCCTTTCATTCCTATTGCTCAGTTCCCTTTATCAACATTATTTATGTTGTTTTCCTCAAACTCCTAAAGAATAAACCAAGATGAGGTTTTTTCCCCCTTTGCTGTCTTTCCAAGTTTTCTCTTTGGGCCAGAAATCCCAGCACTTTGAATGGCAAGGAATCCTTCAAGCCTGTTGTACATCGTGGTATGAATAATTCTACTGAATATAACCACCCTAAACTATGCTGAGCCATAGAATCAGAGCCTGCTTTTCCTCTGGAAGTTAGAAGAAGGGATCTGCAGGAAGGAAGAACTGGAGGAATGCTTTTTTTGTTGTTTTTGTTGAGGCGGAGTCTCGCTCTGTCACCCAGGCTGGAGTGCAATGGCCGGATCTCAGCTCACTGCAAGCTCCGCCTGCCGGGTTTACGCCATTCTCCTGCCTCAGCCTCCCAAGTAGCTGGGACTACAGGCGCCCGCCACCTCGCCCGGCTAGGTTTTTTTTGTATTTTTTAGTAGAGACGGGGTTTCACCGTGTTAACCAGGATGGTCTCTATCTCCTGACCTCGTGATCCGCCCGTCTCGGCCTCCCAAAGTGCTGGGATTACAGGCTTGAGCCACCGCGCCCGGCCTGAAATGCTTTTTAAATGAAGTTAATTCTGGGTAATAGCTCACTAGACACTGGCTGCCTTCCTTGCCTTGATCTCCAAAATCTGAGCAATGTACCCAGAAACTGCCTATGGCTTCAATCCCAGAGAGTGGAAGAAGTGAAAAGAAGAGAAGGCATATGCTATTCCATAGCAGACATGTTCTGTAATTCTGGCTCCCAAACTAAAGGCTGTAGACTGTCTCTGGGCAGTAGAGCTGACAAATTTTATTCAACATACATATACTGAGTACCTACTATGTGCTCTATGTTGGGGCTGAGGGACAAATTCAGATGTGTGTTCTCACTTAATCTTCACAACTACTCAGATAGATAGATATTATCTATCCCTGTTTTACAGATAAGAAAACTGAGGAGGAAGGGTAACTGACCTACATCAAATTCAGACAGATACCAAGAAGTGACGCTCCAACTGGAACCTGTCTTAGTCCATGTGTGATGCTTTAACAAAATAACACAGACAAAATATCACAGAGTTATAAACAATAGAAATTTATTTCTCACAGTTTTGGAGGCTAGGAAGTCCAAGATCAAGGTGCCAACAGGTTCAGTGTCTGGTGAGGGCTCTTCTCTTCCAGAATGGCACCTTGTTGCTGTGTCCTCACATGGCAGAAGGGACAGAAGAGGCGAACTCACTTAGGGCCTCCTAATCCATTCATGAGGGCAGAGCCCTCACGGCCTAGTCACCTCCTAAAGGCCCTACCTCTTAATACTGCTGCACTGGGGATTAAGTTTCAACATGAATTTTGGAGGGAACACAAACATTCAAACAAACCATAACAGAATCCAACTTCAAACACAGTACTCAGGCCTCCACAACACAATCCCTATCCTCCTGACTTTTTATAGTCCATTGAAGCAAGTGGGTGCACAGTCAGGTGACCCTAAAAAAATATAGAAGTTGGCCAGGTGCAGTGGCTCACGCCTGTAATCCCAGTACTTTGGAGGCTGAGGTGGGCAGATCACGAGGTCAGGAGATCGAGACCATCCTGGCTAACATGGTGAAACCCTGCCTCTACTAAAGATACAAAAAATTAGCTGGGCATAGTGGCACGCACCTGTAGTCCCAGTCTCCTGTAGTCCCCATCTCCTGCCTCGGGAGGCTGAGGCAGGAGAATCGCTTGAACCTGGGAGGTGGAGGTTGCAGTGAGCAGAGATCACACCACTGCACTCCAGCCTGGGTGACGGAGCAAGACTCTGTGTCGAAAAAGAAAAAAAAGAAAAACAGAAGTTGATAGGGATAGAAACACATTTGGCTGCTTCTATAGTTAACAAGATGCTGTTACCTTCCTTGCCTCATGAGCTCTAAAGACTAAACTAGCGGGACAAAGAAAGCACCTGAGATGAGATGAGAGGAGAGTAAAGGTACAGAGCGATCCCCTGGATATTTGTTCTCTTTCCTCTCAGGGGCTTTGCTACCCCTAGAGAATTATCCATATTAAGAACTTGCATTAATATTCTGGGTTCTGTTTCATTTTTTAGGGTCTCAAGAGCATGCTCAAGTCATTCACGTGTTTCCATCAAATACAGACACAGATCAGGGAAGATTAAACCCTACTAATTTCTCATCAGATGCCTCAGAACAAAGTGCCTTCCAAGAACTAATGGTCAAAATATCCACCCACAAGACAAATAAGCTTATAAAATCTCTTCTTACAATCCTGACATAATGGAAGTTTCCCTAAACCACCCAGCATCTAATACAACCAGCACAAAGAACAACTCAGCATTTTTTTACTTTGAGTCCTGTCAACCCCCTTCTCCAGCTTTACTCCTATTACTTATAGCCTATACTGTGGTCTTAATTGGGGGCCTTTTTGGAAACCTCTCTCTCATCATCATCATCTTTAAGAAGCACAGAAAAGCTCAGAATTTCACCAGCATACTGATTATCAATCTCTCCCTCTCTGATATCTTGGTGTGTGTCATGTGCATCCCTTTTACTATCATCTACACTCTGATGGACCACTAGATATTTGGGGATACCATGTGCAAACTCACATCCTATGTGCAGAGTGTCTCAATCTCTGTGTCCATATTCTCACTTGTACTCATTGCTGTCGAAAGATATCAGCTAATTGTGAACCCCCGTGGCTGGAAGCCCAGTGTGACTCATGCCTACTGGAGCATCACACTGATTTGGCTGTTTTCCCTTCTGCTGTCTATTCCCTTCTTCCTGTCCTACCACCTCACTGATGAGCCCTTCCGCAACCTAGAACAAACCTCCCCTGTATCTATCAAATTTGAACTGCAGCTTATTTGTATGTTAAAAATGTAACTGTAAGCTGGACTCAGCAACTTACACCTGTCATCCCAGCCCTTTGGGAGGCCAAGGTGGGAGGATCACTTTTGCTCAGAAGTTGAAGACCGGCCTGAGCAACACAGTGAGACTCCATCTCTACTAAAAATACAAAAAATTAGCCAGGTGTGGTCATGCATACCTGTAGTCCCAGCTACTCAGATGAGAGGATCACCTGAGCCTGGGAGATCGAGGCTGCAGTGAGTCATGATCACACCACTGCACTCCAACCTGGGTGACAGAGTGAGACTCTGTCTCAAAAAAAAAAAAAAAAAGTAACTGTATTTTCTTTTGAATAAAAAGTAGTATTTCTGTGAACACCTGTGATTTTTCTATTGTGCTTTTTCTTGCACATTAGCTTTCACATTTTCCTCTCCTGAAAATCTCTTTCTCTCTTCCTCCTTCCCTTCTTCCCTTATTCTCTCTTTATTCATTCTCTTCAGGATTTCTCTTCTCTGTTTTATCATTTTGGAATAAAGAACAACAAAAGCACTGCAGAACACACAAACGAAATAAAATCTAACCATCTCATGGCAGTAGCTGTAAATGTTACTTTACTTACTTGGTAAAGAAATGCCGATTCTAGGCTGGGCATGGTGGCTCACGCCTGTAATCCTAGCACTTTGGGAGGCCAAGGTGGGCAGATCCCTTGAGGTCAGGAGTTCGCACCAGCCTGGCCAAAATGGTGAAACCCCATCTCTACTAAAAATACAAAAATTAGCCACGTGTGGTGGTGAGCACCTGTAATCCCAGCTACTCAGGAGGCTGAGGCAGAAGAATCCCTTGAACTGAGGAGGCAGAGGTTGCAGTGAGTGGACATCGTGCCACTGAACTCCAGCCTGGTCAACAGGGCAAGACTCCATCTCAAAAACAAAAAGAAAAGAAAAGAAATATGATTCTAGTTGCCATTACTAAAATGATTCTGATCAAACCACTTGATGTGGTTTTGATGTGTGTCTCCTCCAAATCTCACGTTGGAAAGTGATCCCCAATGCTGAAGGTGGGGCCTGACGGGAGGTGTTGGATCATGGGGGCAGATCCCTCATGAATGGCTTAGTGCCACTGCCTTAGTGATGAGTGAGTTCTCACTCTGTTAGTTCAGATGAGCTGGTTGTCTACGGAGTCTGGCACCTCCTCCTCTCTCTTGCTTCCTCTCTCACCATGTCATATGCCAGCTCCCCCTTCACCTTCCACTATGACTGTAAGCTTCTTGAGGCCTCACCAGAAGCTGAGCAGATGCTGGTGCTATGCCTATACAGCCTGCAGAACCACGGGCCAAATAAACCTCTTTTCTTTAAAAATTACCCAGCTTCAGGCCAGGCATGGTGGCTCAAGCCTGTAATCCCAGCACTTTGGGAGGCAGAGACGGGCAGATCATGAGGTCAGGAGATCGAGACCATCCTGGCTAACCCGGTGAAATCCCATCTCTACTAAAAAATACAAAAAACTAGCCGGGCGAGGTGGCAGACGCCTGTAGTCCCACCTACTCGGGAGGCTGAGGCAGGAGAATGGCGTAAACCCGGGAGGCGGAGCTTGCAGTGAGCTGAGATCCAGCCACTGCACTCCAGCCTGGGTGACAGAGCAAGACTCCATCTCAAAAAAAATAAAAAATAAAAATAAATAAAAATAAATTTTTTTTAAAAAAAGGAATTCAGGTATTCCTTTATAGCAACTCAGAACAAACTAACACACCAGCAAAAGCAGGAAATGACATCAAATTCTAATATTCCTCCCTCCTCTCACCCACATACATATACCCAGTCTCCTCTAATCCCAACTTGCACCCTGAACACGCAGAAGAGATCTCCTGTATATGACTAAATAGTATGATGTTCTTTCCTCGATAAGAGCAATTGTCTTCCATAAAGATGTTTTGTTTTTTCTTTTCAACTTTTCTTGAGCAAATGGTATAACTATTAATAATAGTCTTTCTTGTGTTTATGTTTACCTCAAAAAAAGTAGTGAATTAAATGTATTTTTAATGCATGCCTTCACCTTTAAGGGGCTTACATTCTGACAGGTGGGTGAACACAAGTCTATAAGCAGCTACTTCGAGAAGGTATAATGGAAACATAAACCAAATATTGTGGATAAAACTCATATATGAGAGGAAACACGGAAAGACTTCAGAAAATCAGCCTTTATTTCCTCTATTTTTGCAGTATCTGTGGATAGTTCACATCAATTTGGTCTATCATTGAGCAAACTGGTGTATGAAACAAGGTCTCACCTCTCTCTCTCCAGTTGCCAGATAAGCCTTTTAGGAGACTGGACTTTCATGTTTGCCAGATAGTCCTGGAAACAGGTTCCTCTAGCCAGCACTCCAAAAACCTCCTATCCCCCAACCTCAAATCATTTTGGATTGAGAATAATTTCTCATATCTTTAAAAGCTTCTAGAAAAGAAGACTATTAGTAGAATGAATAAGTGTTTATGTCCTCAAAGAATTAGTAAACTATCCTGAGTATGTCTGTCCAGTAAACCAGAGCTGAATGAGAAAATGCTAAAACATTCTTGCAACAAGTTCCCTAAGTTTCCTCTCTGCCTGAACAGCATAGTTCATCAGCATAATGAACAGAGTCAATCTCTATTCCTGTAAGCTTTGTTTTTTGTAGAATGATACATCAAGAAAAATATATTAAGCCCTTACTATATACTTAGCTTTGCATTTGGTATAGAAAAAGTACAAGACACAGCTTTAAAGAATTTACAACCAAGCTGAGGCTTTAAAGCATTTACAATATACCAGGGGAGTAATTCAATGTCTTGGTTTTGAAGTCTTTCCTTCTTTTCTAATTTACTTTTTAAAATTACAGTATAGTTGACAAAAATCATATATATTTATAGTGAACAATGTGTTTTGATATATGTATAATGTTATGAAATGGTTAAATCAAGCTCATGAACATATCCATCATCTCACATACTTATCACTTTCTGTTGTGAAAATATTTAAGATCTACTCTCTTAGCAATTTTCAAGAATCCAATACATCGCTATTAACTGCAGTCACCATGAGAGACAATAGATCTCTTGTACTCATTTCTTCTGTCTGAAATTTGGAAACTTTGACCAGTATCTCCCCAGTTCCACAACCACCCCTCAGCTCCTGGTAACCACCATTCTACTCTCTGCTTCTATGAGTTCGACTTTTTAAGATTCCACATAAAACTAAGATCATGTAGTATTTGTCTTTCTGTGCCTGGCTTATTTCACTTAGCATAATGTCCTCCAGGTTCATCTATATTGTTGCAAATGACAGGATTTCCTTCTTTATAAAGCCAAATAGTATTCCATTGTGTATATAGATATATATCTGTGTATGTGTCTGTGTATGTGTGTCACATTTTTTCATTATCCATTCATCCATTGATGGACATTTAGGTTGATTCCATATCTTGGCTATTATGAATAATGCTGCAATGTACATGAGAGTACAGATATATCTCCCTGATATGCTGATTTCAATTTCTTTGGATATATACCCATGAATGGTATTGCTAGAGCACACGGTAGTTCTAATTTTAATTTTCTGAGGAACCTCCACACTGTTTTCCACAATGGCTGTACTAATTTACATTCCCATCAACACGTACACAAGGGTGCCAAAGGCTTCCCTTCAGGCTAGGTTGAAAGCTGACTAAAGGAAAGTTAAGGGTAACTGAAGGCAGAGTTAATATCAAAGGAGGACTCAACTTACCTTTATACCCATAAGTGAGAATATACTGAGAGAAGAGGAAGCATCCTAGATGAAAGGAGAAGAGGGGAGTATTTCAAGATTGATTATTTCCAGGAATCCCTAAAATCCTTCCTGAAGTCACCCACGCAATAAATGTGATCATGCAATAAATTGAAGAAAGAAAAAGACGAATATTTCCAGTTGCATAAGGGAGGCAAGACAGGTCTCTCTCTCCTGTTTCTGCGCCCAAATCAAGCTCCTTGTTAGGCTGGGATAGTGTTTCCCCTGAGGAATGAAAAGATGTGTGATGGGGCCGGACACAATGGCTCACGCCTGTAATCCCAGCATTTTGGGAGGCCGAGGTGGGCGGATCATGAGGTCAGGAGATCGAGACCATCCTGGCTAACATGGTGAAACCCCGTCTCTACTAAAAATCCAAAAAATTAGCCGGACGTGGTGGTGGGCGCCTGTAGTCCCAGCTATATGGGAGGCTGAGGCAGGAGAATCGCTTGAACCTGGGAGGCAGAGCGTGCAGTGAGCCGAGATCGCGCCACTGCACTCCAGCCTGGGTGACAGAGCGAGACTCCACCTCAAAAAAAAAAAAAAAAAGAAAGAAAGAAAAGATGTGTGATGTTAGTGACAGAGCATATCTGTTGCATCTGGTCATTGACTGTTTCCTGCTATTCTCTATTTTAGGTAAATAACCCTGTTCTCAGCTAGACTGTGAACTTTCAAAGACCAGTGCTAGGCATGGAAAAAGAATTTAATACATATAGATCTCGAAAGTTACTTCTTTAAAAACCAAGTTAGGGCCAGGCACAGTGGCTCACACCTGTAATCTCAGCACTTTGGGAGGCCAAGGCAGGAGGATCCCTTGAACCAGGAGTTTGAGATCAGCCTGGACAACAGAGCAAGACCCTGTCTCTACAAAAACAATTTAAAAATTAGCTGGGCATGATGGCATGCACCTAGCTAACCAGGAGGCTGAGGCAGGAGGCTGAGGCAGGAGGATTAAGCCCAGGAGTTCGGGATTACAGTGAGCTATGATCATGCCACTGCACTCCAGCCTGGGCAACAGAGCAAGACCCTATCTTTAAAAAAAGAAAACGAAAAACAAGTCAGGCAGTCATTACTTACTTATTAAATGCCGGAATGTTTTCAAACCTATGTTCCATTAATTATCGAATGAGAACATAAAGAAATAATCCTAATTACACAGGGATTATAGTACCGTCAATAAGTCATGAAATTCTGAGACTTGAAGATTCCACTTAAACATTTCTCAACAACATTCTCTTAATTCCCCAGGGCTATTAGGATCCCCTAGTCACTGCTCCCACACGCTATGTATACCTACCATGCAGTACCAGGAAGACCTGTTTACATGTGTGCCTTCAAGGAACATGCATTCCTCAAAGGCAGGACTTGTACCTTATTTACTGTAGTAGCTCCAGTGCCA